AAACTTAAGGGTCTGCTAGCCTATAGGATTGCATCACACTAAAATGATTAAGTACAAAGTGCTTTTGGAGACATTGCTAATATTCTGTGCAAATTGACAACAGCAGAGCAAATAGAACCTTTTTGACTTTTCTGCAGTAGAGCTGTCATTACATTTTTCTAGAGCACTGTACAGCCCAAGTTGTGAAGAAAGCTGCATGCAGAGACAATGTTGTGGAAACTGATCTCTCAAAGTAGATGTTTTCACTTACAGATCTACTCTAGCATTTCCTTCACTGTAAATGACGTGCCTCAAATCCTCATTCAGTAAATCCAATCTCATAGCCAGACACAAATTGTTATATAGACACATGTAATAGACATCACTAGACCTCAACAATGTCTCCTTCCAGTGCACAGAAGCACTTCCCTACCAAGCTACAGGCAAGGCTATGTGACTGGCTCTGACTAAGCACATGTGAGCACTGATGGCTGTTCTGTGTGGCAAAGGAGAAGGCCTACACAGCACTGCCCACAGTCCCTCCTGTCCATAGAGTTGGCAAAAAGCCAAGAGACAGCAGCCTGAATTGCTACAGGGAGACCATCTCAGAAACCCAGGGGTCTATGTTGGTTTAACTCTGTGATTAAGGGTTGTTTGCTACCACACTACAACCCGACCCCTCCTGACCAGTACAACACACTAAGTGGACTTCCCAGGAATTTCACAACTGCATCTAATGTCACCTCCATCTTCTTTCACCTAATCCAAAAAGGCCTACCTACCTGTTATTTTCATTAAACCCGGACTCTGGTTCTGACTCTTTCTTCTGCATCCCCAGGCCCACTTGAAGTGGACGCACTGAGGTGGTGTCCTAACTTGTTACTGATGGTGCCCAAAGTCTCAAGCAAATGTCAAATGAATTTTAGTAAGTAAGGACTTTTCAATGAATGATAGAAAACACAAACAGACCACCAGAAAAGCATCCTGAAAGGGGAAAAACATACTTATTCGTGAAACTGAATGTCAGTGTAAGATATGCAACTTAAAACCTTCCTCTTAAGGCAGGAAGTAACGGAATTAAAAAAATGGAATTAAAAAATATCAATTATCAGTCATGCTGGAAAAGAATGTGCCAACTCACCAACCCTGAAGATATCAGAGTAGATAGAATGAGCATACATATCGGCTTACATGTTTTATTTACTTATATTTATACATTTTTAATGTATATGAGTGTTTTGCCTGCATGTATGTAAGTGCACCCATGTCATACAATGCCCATAGATGCCAGAAGAAGGCATTAGATCCCCTGGAACTAGAGTTAAAGGCAGTTTTCAGTAGCCGTGTAGGTGCTGGGAACTAAACCCAGGTCCTCTGCAAGAGCAGCCAGTGCTCTTGACTGCTGAGCCATCTCTCCAGCCCTTTGCTTACATTTTCTAAAAAAAAATTTATTATTTTTATTTTATGTGTATGTGTGTATTACCTGGATGTAGGTAAGTGCACCCGTGTCATGCAATGCCCGCAGAGGACGGAAGAAGCTATCAGATCCCCTGGAACTAGAGTTACGGACAGTTATTAGCTGCCATGTGGGTGCTGGGATTCAAACCCAGGTCTTCTGCAAGGACAGCCAGTGTTCTTAACCGCTGAGCCATCTCTCCAGCTCCCTGTTACATTTTTTAAAGGGTTACATTGCTACTACCCAGAGCAAAATGGAAACTGAAACTCTTCACAAACATCACCAGTGATTTTAAAAATTAAAAGCTTAAGCCCACAGGATTACAATGCAAATATCAAGAGATCACCTCAAAGGTCATTCAGAACCTTTTTTTTCCTAACCCTTCTGGAAAGTGGCCTGCACTTACAGGCTTGGAAAATAGCTATGAAGAACACGTATGCTGTGGTTTCATAAACTTTCTAGTTTAGAAGTGTTACAAATTTTATTACCCAGATCGAGAGAGAGAGAGAGAGAGAGAGAGAGAGAGAGAGAGATCTGAAATTTGAACTTTGGGAAATCTTTAATCTCTAATCTCCTTTTTGTTATCTGTGGGAACACAAGGGAAGGTTTTCTTTCTTCTGAAAGAAAACTACACAGAAGACTTATATGATGTAATTATTACTCTACTTGTCTTTCTCTGGAATAAGTCAACAATACCCTCAAGTTTCAATTGTGAGAAGGCATTATATAGCTAAAAAGGACCCAAAAAGTACAATTAATTAATCCACTTTATTTTTGCAATCACAATAAACTAAAAATTCAGATCCTCTACATCAACTTAAGAATCTTGCATTTTCAAAATTAAGGCCAAAAAACTCAATTATTTAGTAGCTATGTAATTATACCCTAAAAATGTTTTAAATTCAATTCACCCAAAAGGCAAAACATGACTGTTATCTCTCCTGCCTCACCTATCTCATCACAAGAGTTACTAAATACAGCAGGATTGCTCAACTTCCCTGCTCAACACAAGTATGTACTGCAATTAGAGTGACTGTGCTTCATTTCAGCCCTATGAGTCAAGAGGAAGCAACAGTAGGTACTTACTGGTCAGCACACATCCATCATACACTTAGCATACCAGTGCACCTGTTTGTAAGAGTCACTTCTGTTCTAAGTTACACAGAGTTCACCAACCCTGGGAACAGTAAAATAAGCCGGAAGTTCTGCCTTCTTAAGCACGCTGTGTGTCTTTCACCTCTAAACCAGTGACTTCTGGTAATGTTTGGTGGTAAGAAGTATTTCTGCCTTGAAGACTTAGCTTTATATTGACATCTGCCTTCCAGTTGATTCTTTTTTTCAACTTAGCTGTGAGTAGCAAACATACGTGTATTTCACAAAGCATCATAAATACCCTGTCTTCCAGTAGCTCATCAAAGGAAACCTGTACTTACCCCTGTGTAGGAGTGGAAAGTAATCCCCTGAAGAAGCTATATGCAAACACCTCTGTCTTCTGCACCATGCATTTATGCATGCAGCAGCACCAGCAGGCTGTGGTGTAATATCACAGTCAAGGTGATGGGGACAATGAGACCAGAAATAAACAAGGAAAGTCCCTACTTAATTGCCCCGCTCTAGCAGTTACTTCAAATGACTTACTGATCATTATTCATTTGGGCTCCAGAGAAAGAAACCACCTCAGTTGAAACTAGTATTTGAAGAGCAATAGTGAAAGGCACCTTTAAAAGGAGCATTTTAGTTCTCTAGGATCTTTATCTGTCTCCCTTTGGAGGAGATGAAAGAAGGAAGCTTGAGCCTGACTTGAAGACCACATACCTTTTATAGAAAGAGAAACTGCTTGTAAGGCAAGAAGTACCTTCCCATCTTGTGCTTGATAATCACAGCCAACAGACCCATTCATTCAGAGCAGTGTTTGCCTAAGGAAGTTACTGAAACTCTTCCTGAGAATGTCCCCTCCACCTCACCTGGAGAAGATAGCACTAACCTCCTGCCCTTCTTTGAGGAGACCAGCAAGGCAAGAGTGTGTACAGCAGAGAGAAAAAAAAAAAATGGTGAGTATAAGCAAAGTAAAATGGCATGTATGCAAAGAAATGTCACATTGAATCCCACCATTTAAAATGAAAAAAAAAAAGTGCCTGGAAGATGGCTCTGAGGGTAAAGATGTTTGGTGCCAAACATGGCCATCTGAGTGTGATCCCCAGGAACCTCATGATAGAAGGAGACAACCAACTCCTGCAAGTTGTCCTCTGATTTCCATACATGCCATGGCAGCCCCCATCCCCCCATACACATTCTGAAAAATGTAAAACAAATTAAAGAAAAAATATGTGTGTGTGTATTCTATTTTCCAATAGCTCAATAAATAGGCTTGAGGAGAACTTTTTAAAGTCAAAATGAAAGCAACAGTCAAGGTTTTAAACAGGTATTATGACAGTATAAGGCTATACAAATGAAAAGCACCACTCCTTAGGTGCTCCAAACCCCCCTTGAAGATACCATATGGCTACAGCAAGTGAACAGAGCAGATGGGAAGCTCTCACTATAGAGGGACTCCAAAGAGAAGACTTTGGGCTACTACATTGGCCTAGGTAAAAGGCTGAAGGAACAGACAGGGGAAGAATTAGAATCAGGAAAGCTCTAGTCAGAGTGAGGAAAAGTAGTTTATTTTCTTTTTTTTTTTTTTTTTTTTTTTTTTTTTTTTTGTTTTTGTGAGACGGGGTCCCCCTGTAGCCCTAGCTGTCTTGAACCTCTCTATGTAGACCAGGCTTTCTTTGACCTCAGAGACCCCCCTGCCTCTGCCTCCCAAGTGCTGGGATTAAAGGCATGTGCCACCACACCCGGCTATTTTAATTTTTTTTTAAATAAAAAGACACTGACTTCCTGTCTATCTGCAACTCCCCCAAACAGTCAGTGCTCTACTCTGGCCCACCTCTTGAGCTCCACCTCCCCACATGGCCAACTCTGACCCAGGACCTTACAGAAAAGTATATAACCTCTGTAAGCCATCTAGATGGGAGGGACATGGATTAAATGTCTAACCAGTGTTTATCAGTATTACTTGTGGTCACTGTTTAGATAGAGTGTGCCACAAAGCACCCAGAGATGCAAAAGAACTCATACCATGGCACCATGAATAATATTAATCTATACATTCACCATTCCAAAATGTGGGGACTGCATAAAAGGTAAACCTTAGGAGAAGATTACACTGTCAGACTCTAATTTTTTGCGGGGGGGGGGGCGGGGGGGCATTTGTGTGCCATAGCACACATGTGGAGATCAGAGGACATCAACCTTCCACCTGGTCTGGTTAGGGTCTCTTTTTGTTATTTTCCTGCTGTATACCAGGCTAGCTGGCCCATGAGCTTCTAAGGAATCTCCTGCCTCTGCATTGCATCTCACCATAGAATCATTAGGATTATAGACACTGCACTACAGAATCCATCTTTCATGTGGATTCTAGGAATTTAAATTCGGGTTCTTAGCCAATGATCTCCCCAGCTCGCAGACATTTTTTTTTTTTTTTAAATAGTGGATTATATAATGACAAATTGCATAGGAAGACATTCTACTTCTGGCATATCATATGCTGACTGCTGAGATTCTCTGACAATCATCCCTCTCCTGGTCCACTTGTAGACTATCTCAGTCTCACCAGTGTGATGTGCAGCTTTCTATTTGTTCTAGGCATTCATACACATGCCTTTGAAATTAAAGCAATGATGGAGCATAGAAGTAAAGACTCCAACACAACCATTCTGGACAAGAGTCTGACTCTAGGCATAGTGCAACTCAGTTGATCCGCACCTCATGTTCCGTATGTCCCAGAGACTCAACCCTAAGATCAGGAGGGCATGTGTAGGAATGTTGCCTGCAATTGTACGTGTGGGGACTAGTGTGGAAGGAAATAAGGAAATCCACGGCAAGAATAAGTATCTATATAACCCAAGTAAGGTTGAATTTCTCAGCATAGTGCTGAGTGAATGCGGTGTAGCTCACTGGTAGAGTACCTGCCTGGAGTGTGCGAGGCCTTGAGTTTGACAGCTCTGCAAAAATTAAAATTAAAATTAAAAAATAAAAGCTACAGCCTAACCATCTGTGTAGGTAACTAGCTACATACACCCCACAGCATTCCTATGAAATGGTTAAAAAACAACAGACTAAAAATAGTCCTGACTGAATTTTAAACATTTAGTACACATTCATCACTGTTAATTAGATAAAAAGATGTTCACGTTATATTAATTTTCTATTGCAAAACTTCATGTCCAATCATGTTCTTTCTCCTACTGTACTTATCCCTCTCCCCATCAAAACTGTAGAAGAGACTAGAACACTGTGTTAAAAACCATTTAAAGAGGTTAGCTCTGAAAAATTATTTATATATGTGTTTCCTCTTGTTCTCTTTGCTTGGCTGTATGTCTACAAGGGCTACATATTACTTTAGTAATTTCTTTCTTCCCTGATCCTCCTTTCAATGTGACTCATATGACCACAAAGAAAAATGAGAGAGTAGAAGGAGGGAGGGTTCAAAGAGGGCAGAAAAGGAGGGAAGGTTGTCCTAAGTATGCAACAACAGGGAAAGAGATGAACTATGGCACACGTATCAGAATATTCCACAGGCACTTTTTGTTAGTTGGGAACATAGCATAGAATCATGTGGGGAAGCAGTCTCTGAACTGCACATGCAGGAGAGAGAGGCCACTGGTGAACAGGGTCAAGCAGCATGCACTGGGAGCCAGTTCATTCATAAGTACCCCCCCTAGCTGGTTGCAGAAAAGCTCTGCCATCTCATGTAAAGTGCTCATCTCGTTGCGTTCCATCCTCATTAGTAAAATGGGGTGATAATAGTGTCTGCCTCATGGGGTTGTGGTAGATAATTTCAAAAGATGACAAAAAAAAAAGAAAAACAGTCATGCATAAGGTCCATTCAAAATTAAATGTGGAAATAACTGCTTGCCTTGCATACATGAGGACCCACGTTCAATCCCTAGAACCTATGTAAAAAGAACCCTGGCATGCTTGCAATCCCAGCACTACAGAGGTGGAGAAACGCCCTGGGGCTTGATGGTCAGCCAGACTAGCCTACTTGACCAGTTCTAGGCTAGTAAGAAACCCTGTGTCAGAAAAAAAAAAAATGCACACATGCATTTGCATATGAATGCACATACATACACACACATGAACACATACTAAAAGTATGTTTAATCTATACAAATTATACCTCGGCCAAGCTGATTTTTAAAATACATACATGTGGGCTGGAGAATGGCTCAACAGTTAAAACATTTGCCGCACAAGCAAAAGGATCAAAGTTTGGATCCCCAGAATTGGATGGGTATGGCAGCCTGCCTGTAAGTCCAGCCTGGGAAGGCAGAAAGCAGGCATCTCAGAGCAAGCTGGCTAGCAACACTAGCTGTACTGGCCAGCTCTCAGTTTCAGTAAAAGAACCTTTCTCAAAAAGAATAAAACAGAAGAGAAATCGAGGAAGATTCCTGGTATCAACCTGAGGCCCCACACTTAAGTTCACCTACCTATGAACAGGCACATGTATATACATGCACACCACACACATACATATGAAAAAGTACCTTTAAAATATAAATATACATCCACTCAAATAATGACATACTGCATGATTCCACTTATATGAAACATCTAGAATAGGTAAACCCTTAGAATAGATTGCAGAATAGAGGTTGCCAGGCTCTGGTAGAGGAAAGAATAAAGAGTGACTGTTTGACAAGCAAGGGTAGGCAGTGATACAAATACTCTGGAACTAGTAAGAGGTGGTAGTTACACAACGTGTGAATGTACTAACTGCCACTCAAACGTTCCATCTCTAAAAAAGATATTTTTATTATGAATTTTGCCTCAGGAAAAAAATGCATGCAAAACAGCATATTTTACAAGAACATAGAGACTAAAGGATATATACACAAACATTCAAATGGTTGACTAGAGGGGGAAAATTAAATAAGGAGAGTTAGGATAAATGAAGGTCACAAAATCAGGTAACACCATGTAAGTCTATGAAGGGCCTTGACCAGACTACCGCTAACTGTGATGCACAAGCTAAGGTTGCTGGAACCCTCTGGCATGGAGGACTAAGACACTTCATTAACTGCTTTTAAAAAACAAAAATAAATGACATCCAACTCTATTCTTCATTTACAACTTACTACTTCTACACACAGCTGTATTCAGTTGACATTCTTACCAGTCATAGAACACAGTATCCTGAAACAGCCTGCACTGCAGCCCTGAGGATGTACCAGGATTCACATTCTCAACTTGCTTTCCTCGGTATTTTTACTTGTTCATACACATAATGTGACAACATGATGATTTTGTGATGATCAGAATGAGGCACAATCCTATATACCAAAGTAAAATCCTAGTCCTAAAGAGGTTTACAATTTTTTACACATCTTTCATAGCCAAACTTTTCCCACAAATCACTATCAAATGGCTAAAGAATCCAATCATACACACATACCGTGTATACACACACACACACACCACACACACACACACACACACACACACACACACACACACACATACATTCACGTCATTTCCACATCCTCCATAATGAAGTTGATGTCATTTGATTTTACAGGGCCAGGGGGAAGAAAATTCTAGCTGGACAAGAGTTCATTGTATCAAGATGGCACTTCCCTAAGCCCTGTGACCACCTGGCCTGGCTATCTGGATTAAGTTTAAAGGCCTGGAATTCATTCAGAAGATAAATGCTGCATCAGTAATATGTCCATGAAGCTGGCCTTGAGCTCCTGGATTTTCCAACAACTATGTTAAAAACCCTAGTTTTCTGTGTCTACTTTCCAAACTTCAAACACCAGCACGTCACCTGCTTAAATCCAGTGTACCTAACAGAGCTCTCTGGGATTTTGTTTTCTCAAAATAAACTAAAAGACTGCCCTTTTAAATAATTAGTCACGAATGTCAGTTGCCTTGAGGTGACAGAGGAGACAAACCTGACATTTGTTAAGAAACAGCAACTGGAGCCTCTCCAAGAGACAGAGGAAAGCCAGGGAAAAATGTTTCCCTTCTAGGCTAAGTAGAGACTTGCATTTAGTTTAGAAACTCAAAATAAGGCTTTGATCAGAGTTGGGGTAGGGGTCAGGCGCATGCCCTGGGTGGGGACAGAGCAGCCTCTCTGTGCACTTCCCCTGCTCTCTTAGGCCCCACCAGAGGAGGCTCTGCTCAGTGCCAAGGGCAATCTGGCACTCTAAGGACTGGGCAGTTATGCAATACAATTATGTTTTGCATAGCATCCCTCCCACAGGGCATTCCAATAAGCTTGACAAAGAGGATCATTCAGAGTGGATAAAATCAGCAAAGTGAAGCAAAACTCTGTAGCAAACAGGAAAAGGAGGAACAGGGCTCTGATATGGACAGGGATCCCAAGACCTTCCCTGTTCCCCCAGACAATCTGCTGGACTTAGGTGGAAAGGGGCAAGGTGACCAAATGAATCACTGAAGAGTGAATCAATGAGAGGGTGATGCAGCAAAGGCTCATGGTGGCTCCAAGACGATGCAACCTTGCTCTGGGCTAACAGGAAAATGATCTTCCACCAACCAACACAGGGTTGGCTTAGGTTTTTATTTTTGTTGTTTTTCTTATACTTGATTTTGTCTGTGGCCAGCTGTTTATTCTACTTGCTAAATAATAAACACAAGTCTCAAAATATTTTTCTAATTTATGACTTACTGGCCCAATTTGTTTGACAGAAGCAGACGCGTGCCTGCGTACCAAAAGCAGTGCTTGGCTGTTTCAAGCTCTCCTTGGAATTCCTGCAAGAAATCTCTGGGTCTGACAGTCAAGAAGAAGGGGCTAAATGCCTTTTCTTTTCTTTTTTTTTTGTTTCTTTTGGTGAGGTAAGTCAATAAAATGGCAAACTGCCGCTCTCAGAAAAGCTGTTACAAGCTACCTTCAAAACAACTCATTATTCATGTGTGTGCTTTCTAAGTTCTAAGGGCCGACTGATGCCACCAGGGCCAGATCATCTCATAAACAGGACAGGTCTCTGATCTCCAGAGAAGGCCAAGGTCACATTGCTCTGTACTAGGCATTCCTAGACTTGGTAAGGACCTATATGGCCCCACTTATCCACACTTTTCAGAAGTCAGCCAAGTACTTGAGATGTAGCTCAGTTGGGAGTGCTTCCCTTGCATGCCAGAGCCCTGGTTCAGTCCCAAACATACACACAAAAAACAAGAGAAACAGGAGGAAGGAAGGGAGGAAGGGAGGGAGGGAGGGAAGGAGGGAAAAAGTCAGCTGAGGTGCCTGGGGAAGGCGGCTGAATAGGTTCAGCCCCAGCCCTGGGCAGCAGTTATGCCACTCCTCACAGGCCTGCTGAGCATCATTTCCACAAAGCAGAACCTGAAGAATCTGAAAAAGCCCACAAAGCCAAAAGCAGAATGACAGGCTTCAGTGCAGCTCTGCCTGTCTGCAAAATCATCCCACTCTTCCAAGCCACCAAAGGGTGTTCCATAGTGGATGCTTGGGAAGTAATGAGTTCCATCCCTTATATTATACAGGGAAAGCCTGCAATCACAGAACCTTCAGTTTCGGTTTCCTATGGACATTCATGATCATGGAAAGAGATTCACCATGAGCTAGGAACTCTAAAAAAAATCAGAGAAAGGCCAATATCAAGATGCAGGAAGGGGACAGACTGTTCCAATTTATTAATTTACTGCTACTACCTTCCTAAATAGCAGAAATGCAGATCTGAAAAAATAAGTCATATAAAATCATGATTCAGAAACATCACATGTGAAAAGCAGATACTCTCCTTTTCCTTGCCTGTGGACCACAAAACACATGTGTATAATTTTTAATTATTTTATTTTTTAATTTTATCTGTATGAGTGTTTTGCCTGCATGTATTAAGTGCACCACACGCATGCAATGCCTGTGGAGACCAGAAGAGGGTGTCAGATATCCTGGAACTGGAATTGTAGGCATTAGTTAGGTGTCACGTGGGTGCTAGGAACCCGGGTCCTCTCCTAGAGCAGCCAGTGCTCTTAAGCACTGAGTAATTCTTCAGCCCATGTGTGTGTATTTAATAGTCAAAGCCACATGGTGGAACCTACTTATTTCAGAAATATCCATGTTAGCATGACTTTGATGGAATCGCTTACTAGCAGCAAATCATTTAAAGTCTCTTCTCTGATATATAGGGATATATAAACACTTGCTAATATCACATTGCTATTAAGCACATGGAAGTCACTGGCATGCTTTGCTGATAGGAATCCTGATGCAGAGGACCACATATGCCAAGAGAGGATGCCATTGATGGCCCTGTGTTCTGTCCAACAAAGCCTCTCTTCTGAACTGTCAGCACTGCTGCTGTCACTTGCTGAAGGCCTGGGGGACAGCAGAAGGTTTTGTTTCATTTATAAACAGGGACTAGCAACCTGCTGTGAATGCCCAAATTAAAAAGAAACTGGTATAGAACCACAAAGGCTGAGAAAATTCCCAAAGCAATGAATTAGGCAAGTTCCTTTTCACAGTTTTTTCTGGGGAAATTGCTGCAACTCCTGCCATTAAAGAGTGCCCATGGGCATAGAACCATGTACCAGACAAAGGACACGGGACACAGGGGCCAGCTCCTCTGCCACCCCACTTCTCCAAGACAAATGTTCACCCAAGGTGTGAACAGTCTTCAGAGAAACTTCTGATCATGGAATGGAAAGGCTCAGAATCAAAATCAACAGTGTCCTGTTTCACCAAAGGCCAACCCAAGCACAGAGAGATAAAGGAAGGACACAGAATATTTTCCCTACCAGCTCTTCAAGAGTAGAATCAAAATAAAAGCATATTCCAAAAGGTTTAAAATTAAAGAGAGGAATGGAAAGTCTAATTTGGATACAAGTTCATCAGACAGTCAAAAGACAAATGTCTGTCTGTTCATGTCATCACTTAACAATCACTAAGTGGCATGAGCCATGACAAATTTCACTATACTCAGGACTTAAAACTCAGGAATCATACTTACTGGAACATAATAGCTACCAGAGAAGGTAAGCTTTGCACCCAAGTGGCTGCAATATACAGTATTGGCTGGTAACTTTCCTAAGAATCTTTCAATCAAGAATTTGGGGTGGTAATTTGGATTGAATTTTGAATGATCAAGAATTTATTTAAATAAGTTCATTGTATTTACATATTGTGTGTGGTGGGTGTGGCTGGGTGTGTGTGTGTGTGTGTGTGTGTGTGTGGATGTACACACGAATAGGCATTTCAGTCTCACTTGTGGAGGTCAGAGGACAACTTGTGGGAATCTTTCCTTCCACCATATGGGTCTAGGGAATCAAACTCAGATCATCAGGCCTGGTAGAATGTACCTTTACCCACTGAGCCATCTGGCCAGCCTGAATTCATAACTTTGCGCATTAGGAAGGGGAAAAATAAAAAACAGGAGCATGCAGGAAGGTGGAAAAAGGCAAGCAGGTGGGAAGGAGTCCCCTGTTCACTGTTAGTAAGCATGAAATGCTACTGTTGAAAAATAACTGCAAATTATTTGAGAAAGCAGACTGAGGTCAGACGAGGAGCATAAATAAGATACAAAGAATAAAAAATAAGAATATAAATAATAAATAAATAAATAAATAAGCCAAATCCTTCATAGAACAGACGCATCAGATCACCAAATCACCAAACAGCTTTTAAGACCAATGACTTGCCCCTAACAGGGATTTGCTATTGCAAAGATATTTGAAATGAAGTCAAATACATTTGGGATTGTGATGGCTAATCTTGGCTATCAACTTAAAAAAAAAAACAGAGAAGAGGGAATCTCAACCAAGGAATTTCTTCCATCAGACTGACCTGAGCCCTATCTGTGGGGCATTTCCTTGATTGCAAACTGGTGTTGGTGGACCTGGGTACCACCCCTGGGCAGGTGGGCCTGGGCTATTAAAGAAAGGTAGCTGAACAAACCATGGGAGCAAGTGAGTAAGGCCGCTGGTTTCTGCTTCAAGCTCCTACCTCAGCTTCCTTTCAATCCATAAGCTAAAAATAAACCCTTTCCTCCCCACATTGCTTTTGGTCATGGTGTTTTATTATAGCAACAGAAAACAAAACTAGAACAGGATGCTTTGTGCTTTTCTTTGTTCTTTTCCATTGATTTATTTAGGAGAGAAGTGTCCAAATAGTCTCACAGATTCACAGATGGGCACCAACACCATGTACTCAGGAAAGCTAAGTATCAACCCCCTGTCACCTTGATATGAAATGACTGCAAAAATATTCAAATGGAATCTTAATTCTCTCACTAGCCCTATGTGGCACTCAAAAGCACTTTAGAGGCCCAAACATGTCTTTTAATAGCCAGTAAGTTGTGGGGGAAGGGCAAGTATCTTAGGTAGGTTTCTATGCTTTCCATACAGACAGTCCTTCACCTGAGGTGGTTAAACTCAGTGATTTTCCTACTTCACACAGTGCAAAAGTGATATGCATACATTAGCAACAGTACAGAGCTTTGAATTTCCCCCTTCTCCCTAGCAATATGCAGTAGCTTTCTATAATATCAAGCAGCAGCACTGAGCATGGCTCCTGTGGTGGTCTGAATGCAAACTGCCCCCAGGCTCAAGTATATGAACACTTGGTTGGTGGCATTGTCTGGGGAAGGTCATGGAATCTTCAGGAGGTGTTGGCTTACTGGACAAAATATGTCACTGGAGGCAGGCTTTGCGATGTCACAGATTCCTCCCATTTCCAGTTTTGCTCTCCGCTTCCCATGCCTGCTTAAGGTTTTGAGTGCTCAGCTTTCTGCTCCTCCTGCCTCCCCACCATGATGGACTCTAATTCCTCTGGAACCATAAGACAAACTCTTCCTTCTGTAAGTTGTCTTGGTCATGGTGTTTTATCACAGCAACAGAAAAGTAACTAATACATCCCCCAATAGGCCACGTAATCAGAAGGGTAAAAACTAACACCACACTGACAGCTAAGCCATAACATTTGGTAGGCTGGGTGTAAGAAAACAATATAATCAAGCTAATCAAAAGAAAGGAAGCATTTTCATCTTCCTTAAGAACATGCCATGGCACAGTGAGGCAATAGAGAAAAACAGGGAAACTTAAAGGGACACAGAAGCAGCAGCCCCTGGCTCTGGGATCTAATTTGTCTTTCCTGATAAGAAACTTAACACAATTTCTAAGCCAAAACTGCCTATAGATACAATGCCATGTGTTTCTAAAGACATCTCAAACAAGACTGGTAACAGCAACAAATAAACTGTGCTTACTTAGGGGCAGGATGTTTGTAACCTTGAGTTTTACCATATTTGCACTTCTCTCATCCCTAAATCTAAATGCTGCACCTCATAAAACCACATTACAGTGTCATTTACAAAAGTGAATTATTGAAGAGAAATAAGTGAACCAGCTCACAGAATTTTGCTTTATTTAAATGTTAATATATAACAAATATATTAACATTTAAATAAAGTTATATATATATATATCCACTATATATATATCCACTATAATGACACCTAAGAGTGACTCTTTTGAGAAGCCCATGCTCACATCCTGGAATATTCTTATTCTTTTTTGAAATATTATTTTTATTTTATGTACATGACTACATTGCCTGCATGTGTATAAGTGCACCCATGTCCTGCAATGCCCATGGAGGTCAGAAGAGAATGTTGGATCTCCTGGAACTGGAGTGACAGATGGTTGTTAGCCACCATGTGGGTACTGGAATTTGAACTCGGGTCCTCTGCAAGAGCAGTCAGTGTTCTTAACAGCCTAGCCATCTCTCCAGCCCCTGGAATATTCTTATTCTTATATTCATTCATTCATATCCCCCCCACACACATTCTCTCTCTCTTTCTCACTCTTCATTCCCTCCCTCATGATTAAGCATGAGGTTCACTCTGGCTTATCCTGAAATACTTTTTTGTAGCATAGCCAAGAATCCAGCTTTATATGAGTGAAGGTCCTTACGGGAGAAGAAAATTTTTCCTTCTTTTGGCAGTAGTGTTTGGGGGTGCAGTCCACAGTAAGTAAATAATCCTTGAATGGTAAAGTTTAACACCAACCTATAAATCAAACCAGCAAACTCAGTGGTCGGGGTGTAGCTCAGCACTTGTCTAGCATATGTGAAGTCCTGGGTTCAATTCCTACCACTGGGAGAGAAAAAAAAGAAAAAAAAATCTAGTAGATAAAAGCCAAAAGCAGGTTAAAGGAAACTGGTGTCTCTTCCTTCTTAGCATCAAGGTAAGAACCGGGGAGGCACCTCTGAAGTTGTGAACAGTCTTAATGAGCAAGATAGTAAATTTGAAAACAAAGCTGAGAAGCAACACTGAGACAGTGAATGCTGATGATTTACCAGTGCAACCTGGAGCAAGAAGCAACCACTCTAAACAGTATAGCAATTATGGTTAGAAAAGGACTTGGGGCCCAGTGCAACAGTGTGCACCTGTAGTACCAGCACTGGGCAGAGGCAGAGAGATTACTAGGCAGACAGACATAGGCAAGCAGGTAGGCTCTTAGAAGACAGAAAATTAAACTCAGGCTTCAGCTTCCTCACTGGCTTGATATGTACATTAAATGAGATGTGGCTGGGGTTGGAGTTGCAGCACAGGGTAGAACACTGTTCTACATGCTCATAGCCCTAGGTTCCATCCACATATACGCAGCATGTTTCTGTCAAGGAGACGTTATATATAGCCAATGTCAAATAATAGGGAATGCAAGTCATTTTGACTGAATCAAAACAAAAAAAACAGTCCAAAAACATGAAGGCTGTTATTTCCAAAGAAATACCACTGCTCTGGTTCCCACCAGTTCTCTCTTAACTTTTGCTCTGTATCAAAACAGAAATGCTTGTTTTAATTGAATAAGATAGCATAACTGTACACGTATCTAAGAAGATTAAGAGTATACACGCTGCCAGTTACATAGCATTCTACACAAACACACACACTCATACCTGGGATGAAACTCTGTGCTCATGTGCTTGCCTAGCATTTACTAAAGCCCTAGGTTCAATAACCCCAGCATTGCAAAAAGAGAAAGTAAAATGGACTACTTTGTGTATCATTTTTCTGATAAAAGGTAAAAATTTTTGGCTTCAAATGCTGATCTAGAAGGCAGAGTCAGAAATAATGCAGTATCTCTTGCTTCCTGAGTCAGTTTCCTTTGCATTGAAATTATTTACCTCGTTAAATTATAATGAACTGCTATTGATTTTTGCCCAAGCAGGCAAGTGACCACGTGAGCAGGATAATGGGAAGTAAAAAATTCCACTACAACCAGAATACCTTTGTTCAAATGCACAAGTCCATTAAATTCACATCCTGTAGTCATTTGTGGAGTTCTTAGAACAATGGTAAACTTAGTTACTGAGAACAACAAAAAAATCATTCTTTTCATTATTTCTTTTCCTTGCTGAAAGTTTTAAACACTGATGGTCTCTGAGATCAGGGCTTCAGAGATAAAAGCATGGTATCATTATACAGGCATATCAAAAGACAGATGCATGCTCTGATAACATTAACACTGAGCCCATTTTCTGTCTTGTTCCTGGTTTATTTTTGTATATTTTTATTGAATTTTTGTGCATTTCCTACACATCTTAATCATCATTATACTGC